AGGGACAGGGGAGTGGGGTATAGTGAGAAGGAAGAGGGGATGGTGGAGTGGGGAATGGTTGGGAGGCCGAGGAAATGGGTGAGGGGGGAATGGTAGGGAGAACTGGAAGACACGGACGGTTACTGTGACTCAGCAACGCGTGGCCGGGTACTGCTAGTCTATATAAATAAAAATGTAAAAGTTCGTTTGTTCAAAATCGCAATTCTCCAAAAGTTCTTCACCGATTGCTTTGAAATTTTTACACAACGTTTCACTTGCATACGAGCGTGTTTTTATATACATATTGTATAGATGTCACGTCTGTGACAGATAAAAACATTTTTTTAAACTGTGTTTTTGATGTGAGTTTTCTTGTGAAGGAAATCTCCAAAACCTCTTTACCAGTTGCTTTGAAATTTTGACACAACGTTGCATTCGAATATGTGCTTTTTTTATCTACCTATTACATACATGCCACACCTGTGACAGGTAAAAACATGTTTTTTTTTCAACAGCGCCATCTTTTGGACATAAGAGAAACACGCATTGTAATCTCCGAAAGTTTATCACCGATTGCTTCGAAATTTCGAAATCTTCGAAACCTCTTTACCGGTAGCTTTGAAATTTTGACACATCGTTCTATTGGAATACGCGTATGTTTTTCTATACCTACAATATAGATGACACACCTGTGACAGGTAAAAACAAGTTTAAAAACAAACAGCCGCATCTGTTTCACATAAAATCAACACACGTTATACTAAATATGTTACAATTCCATTTCAATGTTTTCAATTGCACGGATAAATTGAATTTTCATTGATTTCGATTTATTTTCATTTTGATTTAATTATTTTATGTGACATTACGTTGGAATTGAGTTGTGTAGTTTACCATACAGGAGAGTATAGTTAATTTTCTTTTTTATTTTTTCACTGTTTTTCATTTTTTAACTGTTCTTAATTGTCAGTGATGGGAACATCAGACCATTTGGGAATGCATTGGACGAGGGAGTGGGGAATGGTCAGGAGGACGAGGGGTTGTGGGGAATGGTGGGGAGGACGAGGGGATGGAGGAGTGGGGAATGGTGGGGAGAATGAGGGAACGTGGAAGTGAGGGATGGTGGGGAGGACGAGGGGATGGGGGGAATGGTTGGGAGGATGGGGGGACAGAGGAGTGTTCTTGTGGCTGGGTTACCTGGTTGATGGGGTTCTGGGAGTTCTTCTACTCCCCAAGCCCGGCCCGAGGCCAGGCTTGACTTGTGAGAGTTTGGTCCACCAGGCTGTTGCTTGGAGCGGCCCGCAGGCCCACATACCCACCACAGCCCGGTTGGTCCGGCACTCCTTGGAGGAATAAATCTAGTTTCCTCTTGAAAATGTCCACGGTTGTTCCGGCAATATTTCTTATGCTTGCACCATGGGTACAGCTAGTCTAATTATAATATTGTAACTATTGGTTGGAAATTTCCCACAGTTGGTACAATGATATTGATAGTGGTGACAAGATATGGGAGGTGGTGACATGACAAAGAAGGTGTTGACATGATATAGAGGGTGGTGACATGATATAGAGGGTGGTGACATGATACGGAAGGTGGTACAATAGCATGGAGGATTCTGACGTCATTATTAAGTTTATGGTTGGGTATAGAGGGTGATGACATAATGTGGAAAAGTAGTGTTTTCGTATAGATGATGGTGACATGATATTGTTGTTGGTGTTGTTATTTGCAAAGTAGTCGCCGGATATGAAGGGTAGTAACATGATGTTTAGAGTGATGACCAGATATGGAGGATGGTGACATGATACGGTAAGAGGTGACATATTAAAGAGAGTAGAGGCCCGATGTAGATAGTGGTGACATGATATTGAAGGGTGTAGATATGATATTGAGGATGCTAACATGATATGGAGGGTGGTGAGGTGATATACAAAGTGGTCACATTATATGTATGGTGATGTTGCAAGCCGTCCTCTGGGTACCAGAGTACTCTTGACACAAACCACTTAACAGTGAAGGAAGGAGGAAAATAACAATGAAGGAACAGGTGATGAAACTTAGAACGGGTGAGGACAAGTATACAGAGAACGACAAAGAGGTGTGTGAGGAACTCAACAAGAGGTTCCAGGAATCTTCACTATAGAACAAGAAGAGGTTATTGCACTAGAAGAGGTGTCAGTAAACCAGGCGGCCTTGGATCGGTTCGAAATTACAAGAGATGAGGTCAAGAGGCACCTGTTGGATCTGGACGTAAGAAAGGTTGTTGACCCAGACGGAATCCCACCATGGGTATTGAAAGAGTGTGCAGGAGGACTTTGCTTGCCACTCTCCATAGTATATAGTAGGTCACTGGAGATGGGAGACCTACCAGAAATATGGAAGACGGCTAATGTAGTCCCAATATACAAAAAGGGCGACAGGCAAGAGGCACTGAACTACAGGCCAGTGTCCTTGACTTGTATACCATGCAAGGTGATGGAGAAGATTGTGAGAAAAAACCTAGTTACACATCTGGAGAGAAGGGACTTCGTGACAACCCATCAGCATGGGTTCAGGGAAGGTAAATCTTGCTTTACAGACTTAATAGAATTCTAAAATCAGGTGACAAAGATTGAGCAAGAAAGAGAAGGATGGGCGGATTGCATTGTTTCGGACTGTCGGAAAGCCTTTGACACAGTACCCCATAAAAGGCTGATGCATAAGCTGGAGAAACAGGCAGGAGTAACTGATAGGGCGCTCCAGTGGGTAAGGGAGTACCTAAGCAATAGGAAGCAAAGACTTACTGTGAGGGGTGAGACTTCAGGCGTGAAGTCACCAGTGGAGTCCCACAGGGCTCTGTACTCGGACCTATCCTGTTTCTGATATACGTAAATGATCTTTCAGAGGGTATAGACTCATTCTTCTCAATGTTTGCTGACGACGCCAAAATTATGAAAAAGATTAAGTCAGAGGAGGACAGCTTGAGTCTTCAAGACCTAGACAAGCTGCAGGAATGGTCAAACAAATGGTTGTTAGAGTTTAACCCAAGCAAATGCAATGTAATGAAGATAGGTGAAGGAAGCAGGAGACCAGATACACGGTATCATTTTGGAGATGAAATACTTCAAGAGTCAGAGAGAGAGAAAGACCTGGGGGTTGATATCACGCCAGACCTGTCCCCTGAAGCTCATATCAAGAAGATAACTTCAGTGGCATATGCCAGGTTGGCTAACATAAGAACGCCCTTTAGAAACTTGTGTAAGGAATCTTAAAGAACTTTGTATACCACATATGTCAGACCAGTCCTGGAGTATGCGGCTCCAGCATGGAGTCCATATCTAGTCAAGCATAAGCCTAAACTGGAAAAGGTTCAAAGGTTTGCCACCAACATAATACTCGAACTGAGGGGGTATGAGCTACGAGGAGTGACTACGGGAATTAAACCTCACGTCACTGGGAGACAGAAGAGTTAGAGGGGGACATGATCACCCCATACAAGATTTTCAGAGGAATTGATAGGGTAGATAAAGACAGGCTATTTATCCCAAGGAGCACAGACACTAGGGGACACAGGTGGAAATTAAGTGCCCAAATGAGCCATAGAGACGTTAGAATTTTTTTCAGTATTAGAGTAGTAGAAAAATGGAATGCATGATGTGGTGGAGGCTTACTCATTACACAGCTTCAAGTGTAGATATGATAGAGGCCAGTAGGCCCAGGAACCTGTACATTAATTGATTGACAGTTGAGAGGCGGGACCAAAGAGCCAGAGCTCAACCCCTGCAAGCACAATTAGGTAAGTACGTATAGCGGCCTGGATGCGTTGTTAAACAACTTTCTGTCATATACTCAAGGCTTGGGCACAACCTGGGCGCCATCCTACCCGCCAGCCTGCCTGCCAGCCTGCAGGAAGGCTGACCGATTGGCAGAGAAGCGAATCACGCAGGTTAGACGGCAGACAGGCTGTCATGACGGCTGGCAGGACGGCAGGTAGGTTGTCAAGACGGCAGGCAGGTAAGCTGGCAGGTCGGTAAACAGGCTGGCAGAAAGGCTGAAAGCTTGCAGACAATCTGTGAGACAGGCTGGTATAGTGGTAAGCAGGCAGGCTAGCTGGCAGGCTGGTTGGGAAAGCTGGGAGGTGGGCAGAGGGGAGGCAGCCTTGTGGTTAAGAGGGTCAGTAACCACACACGGGGGGCGCCCTGGTTGTCTCCGAGCCTTGAGTATATGACAGAGGCAGTGTTAAACAACGCAGCCTGGCACTATATGTGGTGTGTCTCGGGAGTACTGTGGCTCCCTGGGGACGAGTTGCAACATATGAACAGAGATGACATCATATGTAGGATGGTGACATAACATGCATGGAGGTGACATGATATGGAGCAGGGTGATATGATATGGGGGATGGTGAGAGGATACGTAGGGTGGTGGCATTATATGGAGAGACATGATTTAGTTTATATTAACAAGATATAGAAAATAGAGACATGCAGAGAGTAAGACATGACATGGAGGAAGGTGGAGGTTAAGACATGATATGGAGGTTATTGACATTATGTGGAATGTGGTGACATGATATGGAGGTATATGACATGACATGAAGGACGGTGGTATAATATGAATAATTGTGACATAAATTGGAAGGAGCTGCCTGATGTAAAGGTGGTGACATTATATGGATAGTGGTGACATGACGTGGAGTAAGGTGACATGACATGGAGAAAGGGGGATATGATTTGGAGGAAGGTGACATAATATGAAGTGATGACTTTATTTGGAGGGAGATAACATGATATGGAAGGAGATGACATGATACGGAGGGTGGTGACATTACATGGAGAGAGGTGACATGATATGTAGGGTGGTGACGCTACATGGTAGGAGGTGACAGGGTATAAAGGTGATAATATAGGGAGGGGTGTAGGAGGGAGAGATGAGAGACCGCCAGCTTGGGTCTGGTTGCTGAACGTGCCGTCATTTGGAGGTCAGCTTAGTGAGTGGTGGAGGCGGGGGCGGCAGTGTGCCACGGGCAGCCATAGTGGGAGGTCACGCAGCCTCTGCTCTCGGCGACCGATAAGACGCGCGTGTGTTGGTGTGGATAAGAGAGAGTGTAGTGACATACACTCGGGACAACTTCCTTCCTTATATCGTGTATAAATATAACCATACTCTTCTTTGCCCAATAAACGCGTGTCGCACAAATTTAAAAACAATCCATGATAATATTAGGGCAGTAAATGTTGTCTCAAGTTTATCAATGTGTGACGCTGGAGAACAAACATGCAAGAGTGGAGGGCTGTGAGGCGCTCTTCAGGCGGTGGAGCCTCGTACGCTTCTGACGAAGGTAATGGAGGAGGTGATCACACCTCAGATACACATGTGTGTTCCTTGTTGTGACAATGAGTCGGGTCTCGTTATCAATGTTCACGTTGTTAGTTGTATTTGTTGGTGAACAAGGTGGTCGTTGTTGTTAATTATGATGTTTGTTGACAAGGTCAGGTGGTCGATGTTGTCAGGTAAATGGATAAGGTGCATCGTACGCTTGTCTTCCCATATTTTCCCTTTGATTTATCAGTTCAGTAATTTATACGAAGTAAAAAATAAATTGGCCTAGTATGCAAGGTCCGATGTGCCTAACAGGCAGAATGATTTTCGTTATTTTCAGATATTTCTTTCTAGACTGGTTGTTTTCTAATAATAATAATCTATTATTTTAGGAATATGAGTAACTCACTTAATTATATTAGGTTAGGTTAGTTTACGATACGTTTGGATGGGTTACGTTTGTTAGGTAGGTTAGGTTAGGTTTGATCAAATTTCTATGTTAATTTTGACTCAAATAACATAAAAATTTCAATCTTAAAATACAAAGAACACCTTATAACTTCATTGGAAAAATTGGAGAAATTAAATATTACACAAAAATTCGGCTTTGTTAGGCAACAGCTTGTTAGGCAAGGATGCCTTGGAACGAAGCTCAGTGTTAAGGTTTACTAAGGAGAGTGGAGGTAAACTTCCTTTCCTGGATGTAATCATCTCGGAAAGGAATGGCGGCTTTAACAGTGAAGTCTAAACTAAGGGAACTAACATGGGACTGTGCCTTAACGCTAAGAGTGAGTACCCTGATACATGCAAGTGGAGTGTTGTCAATGTCTATGTCAACCTCGCCCTCACACACAGCTCCAGTTGGAGCAGGTTGAGGAGGAACTGGGTAGAGAAGGCAGGTCCTGATCAATAATGGATACTCTAATCGATCTGTCGAGGGAATCAACAAATGGAAGGTGAGCCGCCATACTACTTCAGATACAAGTGACAACAGTACAATATTAGTCTTACTATTAAAATACCCGACAGGAACTTCGCCACGGATCACAGAACAGAAGAGAGGGCTCTGATAAACATTATTGATCGAAATGTGACCCTTACTGACACCAATCAGAATAGTGAAGAAATAATATACTATAAGAGCAAGACGTCTGCCAACTTGCTCATAGAGAACTCCCCCAATACCAATTGTGAAAATATTTGAAGGCCTTGAAACTTTTTGATTTACTGTATATGCATTGTTTATTTACAAAAATACTGTTGGAAAACTAATAGTTAGTAACAGTCCTCATAGTGATTATTGTGTCATTTACAAAATACCTTGATACCAAATACCAATACCAATAGAGATACCAAATAATATACACATGGAAAGAAAGATACCAAATAATATACGCATGGAAAGAGAGATACCAAATAATATATATAAGAGAGATACCAAATAATATACACATGGAAAATACTGGAGGGCCAGGTCCCAAATCTACACAGTAATACAACAACGTACTGGAGTGGATGATATGGAAGACAATGCAGAATAGAACCAGTGAAGAGCAGAGGTGCCATAGGCACAATCAGAGAACACTGTAGAGGTCCACTATAGAGAACACATCAGAGGTCCGCGGTTGTTCAACGTCCTCCCAGTGACTATAAGAAATATTGCCGGAACAACCGTGGACATCTTCAAGAGAAAACTAGACTGTTTTCTAAAAAACGTGCCGGACCAACCGGGCTGTGGTGGGTATGTGGGCCTGCGGGCCGCTCCAAGCAACAGCCTAGTGGACCAAACTCTCACAAGTCAAGCCTAGCCTCGGGCCGGGCTTGGGGAGTAGAAGAACTCCCAGAACCCCATCAAGCAGGTATCAACCAGGTACCAATCAGTCTCTCTGTGAGTTTATCTCTGTGTCTGTCTGTGTGTCTCTGTTTCTGTCTCTGTATGTATTTGTTTTTGTTTTTCTCTGTCTTTCTCTGTTTCTGTCTGTCTGTCTCTGTATTTTGCTCTCTCATTTATATAAATATAATTGTCTAATGTATGGCAGGTCACCGGTGAGAGAAGCTTAGCGATGTGAAAACTCCAGAGATGTAATAATTACAGCTTTATTCTGAGAAAGGTGTGTATGTGTCTTGAAAAATCTTTGAAACTGGGGGAGGATCGTCTGTGTAAGTACGGGTTAATTACTGACATCAGGTAATATTTGTTAATCTTCCAAGAGATCAGTGAATAATGGTGTACTACTGAAAGATAAAAAAATAGTTTTTATGTTTGTTTTCCAAATATTTAAATGTGTATCTGGCGGGCCGCTACACAGCTAATTGACTTCCTGGACATATCCATTAGAGTATCCATTACTGATCCGGAACTGCATTAAAATAGCAAGTACCTCGTCAACCTGCTCAACTGGAGGTGTGTGTGTGTGAGGTTGACATAGACATTTGACAACACTCTACATGCATCTATCAGGGCACTCACTCCTAGCGTTAAGGTACAGTCCCATGTTAGTTCCCTTAGTGTAGACTGCAGTGTTAAGGGAAATGTCGAGGAAATCATCAAAAGAAAGGTGAGCCACCATGCGACTTCAGATATAACTCATCAATACATCATCGGTCCCAACTATTAAAATATTCGACAGGAACGTCTTCTCCACAGCCCAAAAAACAGAACAGAGGGCCCCGGAAAAACAATAATAGAAATGTGACCTCTAATGACATCAACCAGAATATTGAACTAATAATATACTACAAGAACAAGAAGTCTGTCAACTTGCTCATGAAGAACTCCGTTGAAGCCAAAACAAACCCCCTTTGAAAGAGACGAAGAATATTGTCTGCGCCTTCACATGCCCACTTTGAGGCTTTCGACCTTAGTTAATTCAATATATAGGCAAGACAAAAACATCCCTTTCAAGACGCCTAACAATGCACAAGCAGCCAGGATATATCAAGGAACAAGTATTCTCCATACATAACCAGACCATAATGATAAATAAACCTATAAACAATACTAAAATAATGGACAGATACAGCGACAACAGAAGACTGGACATGGGCGAGGCATTATACATGAAGTAAACCAAGCCAGTTATCACTAGCCAACCAGCACCACATTACCCTCTCGCCACTTCCAGAACACGACGGAACACAACACACTGCACCAGCCATCATGGAAGCCAGAGATTGACATGATACAGTGGCCCTAGAAGTGAGGTGCTTCACCTTCACCTCATCCTCCGGTTAATGCAGCAAGACTATTGGAGGAGCGGGGTAGTCGGTGGTCACTTCTGGAGGAGCGGGGAAGTCAATGGTCACTCCTGGAGGAGCGGGATGGTCATTGGTCACTCCTGGAGGAGCGGGATGGTCAGTGGTCACTCCTGGAGGAGCAGGGTGGTCAATGGTCACTCCTGGAGGAGCGGGGTGGTCAGTGGTCACTCCTGGAGGAGCGGGGTGGTCAGTGGTCACTCCTGGAGGAGCGGGGTGGTCAGTGGTCACTCCTAGAGGAGCGGGGTGGTCAGTGGTCACTCCTGGAGGAGCGGGGTGGTCAGTGGTCACTCCTGGAGGAGCGGGGTGGTCAGTGGTCACTCCTGGAGGAGCGGGGTGGTCAGTGGTCACTCCTGGAGGAGCGGGGTGGTCAGTGGTCACTCCTGGAGGAGCGGGGTGGTCAGTGGTCACTCCTGGAGAAGCGGGGTGGTCAGTGGTCACTCCTGGAGGAGCGGGGTGGTCAGTGGTCACTCCTGGAGGAGCGGGGTGGTCAGTGGTCACTCCTGGAGGAGCAGGATCGTCAGTGGTCACTCCTGGAGGAGCGGGGTGGTCAGTGGTCACTCCTGGAGGAGCGGGGTGGTCAGTGGTCACTCTTGGAGGAGCGGGGTAGTCAGTGGTCACTTCTGGAGGAGCGGGGAAGTCAATGGTCACTCCTGGAGGAGCGGGATGGTCATTGGTCACTCCTGGAGGAGCGGGATGGTCAGTGGTCACTCCTGGAGGAGCAGGGTGGTCAGTGGTCACTCCTGGAGGAGCGGGATGGTCAGTGGTCACTCCTGGAGGAGCGGGGTGGTCAGTGGTCACTCTTGGAGGAGCGGGGTAGTCAGTGGTCACTCCTGGAGGAGCGGGGTGGTCAGTGGTCACTCTTGGAGGAGCGGGATGGTCAGTGGTCACTCCTGGAGGAGCGGGATGGTCAGTGGTCACTCTTGGAGGAGCAGGGTGGTCAGTGGTCACTCCTGGAGGAGCGGGGTGGTCAGTGGTCACTCTTGGAGGAGCAGGGTGGTCAGTGGTCACTCCTGGAGGAGCGGGGTGGTCGGTGGTCACTCCTGGGGGAGCGGGGTAGTCAGTGGTCACTTCTGGAGGAGCGGGGAAGTCAATGGTCACTCCTGGAGGAGCAGGGTGGTCAGTGGCCACTCCTGGAGGAGCTGAATGGTCAGTGGTCACTCTTGGAGGAGCCGGGTGGTCAGTGGTCACTCCTGGAGGAGCCGGGTGGTCAGTGGTCACTCCTGGAGGAGCGGGATGGTCAGAGGTCACTCCGGGAGAAGCGGGGTGGTCAGTGGTCACTCCTGGAGGAGCGGGATGGTCAGAGGTCACTCCTGGCGGAGCGGGGTGGTCAGTGGTCACTCCTGGAGGAACGAGATGGCCAGTGGTCACTCCTGGAAAAGCGGAATGGTCAGTGGTCACTCCTGGAAGAGCGGGGTGGTCAGTGGTCACTCCTGGAGGAGCGGGATTGCAAGTGGTCACTCCTGGAGAAGCGGAATGGTCAGTGGTCACTCCTGGAGGAGCGGGATGGTCAGTGGTCACTCTTGGAGGAGCCGGGTGGTCAGTGGTCACTCCTGGAGGAGCGGAGTGGTCATTGGTCACTCCTGGAGGAGCGGGATGGTCAGTGGTCACTCATGGAGGAGCAGGATGATCAGTGGTCACTCTTGGAGGAGCGGGGTGGTCAGTGGTCACTCCTGGAGGAGCAGGGTAGTCAGTGGTCACTCCTGGAGGAGCAGGACGGTCAGTGGTCACTCCTGGAGGAGCAGGACGGTCAGTGGTCACTCT